TCTGACTTTGTGCATTTTGGTATTTGCTTCAACAAACACATTCTCTCTCTATTTATCTGTTCATCTTTGAGTACTTATTACTATGACAATCATTTTTATTTTTTAATAGTTTGGTGCAATTACAAGAAAGTATCTATTTAAAATATTTTTAATCACCGACAACGCATCCACTAGAGATGAAAGACGGGTACAATTTCGTGAATTTCGCATATCCTTCAAATTATTCAAAGACGGGTACATTTTTTAAACTACATAGTCAAAGAAAGCAACTTCTGACAACAAAAAATTCACACTGCAATAGCTTAACAAATAGCTTTTTCTATCAAAAAAGTACGAGGAACGATGTAAAGATATGCATCATAATCATATTCTTCTTTTATCTTAAAATGGAGCAAATATCATTGATCCTTGGGGAGGATACTTATTTTTCACTGTCACCTTATTCAATTGACTATAATATATGCATAATCGCATAGACCCGTCCTTCAGTTTCATAAACCAAACAATATTGGTACACTTCAAGGTGACACACTCGGTCATATAAAACTTCGATCTAACAATTTCATGAAATTTTGTCTTTAACTCCAAAGTTTAATAGAAGACATTCTATAAAATTTTAGAATTTATCACATTAATTAGGGAAGCTTGACAACCTTACTGTAATAGCTTCTTAACAATTACTGCTGAAATCACATTAATTAATAGATTTACATTTACTCTTTTTACTAATCACTTATGATTTCAAAACTTTTTGGGTCCTTCAAAATCATTCGCTTTAAGCGACAATTCACAATGGTATGGTAGGAAAAATAATCAATTCATTCCCAAGATTATCTCAAATTCTTCAAAAGATAATTTCATTAGATTTGTCGGAAACTCAATTCCTTAAATCACTAACGGACATACTTTACAAATACGACTCACCTGAACACTCTGACCCAAAGGGTTAGTTGCCACTATATCACTAGAGCTAGACTATAACTGAACCTCTTTTTCTTTAACTAACTTAGTGCTTATGTACGAATACATAAAATCAAAATCAATTAAAATGGATGCACTTTTGTCAAAAAGATAAAATATACCTACGATGATCTCTGAATTCTCTTCATATTCTACAATCTCTGGATCATCTTCATCTTCTTGAGACATAAAGATTGGCTTCTCTACAATTCTTTCCTTATTTTTCTCATGAATAACCTGTGATCACAACCCAACTTCCTCGTCGTTATAAGGCAGAGCATTCCTCTTACATAATGGAGGAAAATCTCTCACAACACTAACCTTTCTAGGACGAATTAATAAAGTCTTCCCTGGTCAATTTGGGTCAACTAAAATCTCAATCTTCTTATTATCATTTTCAAAGTCCTTTCATTTTCTCTTATCTTCATACATCTAAGTAAACACATATTTAAATCACATTAGTGAGGAGTAACATCAATCAAATCACAATCACCATATCAATAATGCTAACATCCTAGCGGCTTGTATACACTTTTCAATTCAAAACAGACTCAGTTTAGGCCTAGAATCGGCTAAACCTGCAGCTTTGATACCAATAAATGTAACACCCATTTCTCGTATACGTTGCCGTATACGAGCCCAAGATGTCACATAGAATTTACAAACCAATCCTTATTCAAAAACCAGTAAAATTTTGTTTCTTTATAAATAATTCAATTATTATCAAGGATCTTAAAATATTTCATTTCGATAGCATTAAAATCATATAACTAATATTAAATAGTTAATCTTTATTTATAAACAGTAATAATAAATACTATCCATCGAAACCAAATTCAAACGTAACTATTTTTTAAGTATCACAACTATTTAATATACATGCCAACTAGTATAATCATCATTCAAAAAAGATATCATACTAATTCTGGAGCAGACTTGATCTTCAAAAGTTGATGCTAGCCTAGCTCCTTACTCCGTATGCTTACTTTTACCTATATGTGAAAACCATCACACCCTAAGTATACACTTAGTGAGGCATGATAATTCTAATAATAATTAAAATAAAATACGTATGTAACTAAACATAACATACATAAATATATTAAAATATAATAGCATTATATAAAACTATTGATTTGTAATTCATCGTACCATAAATAAAATATTCAATGTCAATCAAATTCTCAATAAAGATATTATCATCAATTCACTCAAACTTGAATGTTGACATATCATTTCATATCACAGTTCAATGTATGATAAATGAGAATATATAACACATGAATCACATGTAAGTATATCATATGTAATTTATCTGTCTTGTAAACAATTTATATATTTTTTAAAGCCATATACCTTTCACTTTATTCATTTCATAGCATGTGTCATTCACTTCATTTATTTCAGCACATATCATTCATTTAATTCATTTCGTAGTCTGTACCATTCATTTTCATCTCATAGCATATATTTTTCACTTTTTCATTTCATAGTTCAATGTAAACCACTAAGAATATAAGGTATTTGAGTCAGGCGAGTATACATATAAATAGCACCACCGTTACATCAGTAATGTCAGACGTGCTAGGTACCATTGATAATATCATCACCGTCACACAGACGTCAGACATGCTAATTATCATTTATTAGTAGCACCACCGTCACAAAGATGTCAGACGTGCTAAATCATCATTAATAGTAGCATCACCATCACAAAGACGTCATACATGCTAAATGCTCCACCTCTATACCAATGATTCTCAATGCATTTACAATGAACACTTTCTTTAAATCATTTATCATTCACTTATCAGAATCTTTTCAAATATCATCACAATCAAGTATCATACATCATTCACTCATCAAAATCTTTTTAAACATTAACAAAATCAAGTATAATACACTATAAATCTCAATACGCATATAAAGAAACTTTCCATCACATTCACCTATCATTTAAATATTAAAATATTCATAAATACGAACATATCAAAATATCATATAAAAATACATTGGACAGTTCATACCCGAAATCATTCATAAGAAATCATCAAACAAAATAATATGAAATATAATAAAACAAATTGAAATCAATTTCTTTTTAAGTCATTCGAGGTTGACTCATCGCAAGTTCTCCTCATGTCATACTTATATAGAGTAAGTAAAATGAATGCACCTGGTAATGCCTCACTAAAAACCTTATTTAGCGTTCCTAGCTGCACTCTTGAACTTTTTCTTTACCTTTAACTTTTCTTTGATCTTGATCTTCACGTTCGTCATTTATACATCACATACATTCCAAAGCATATATTAGTATTTTATTAACATAGACACAATCTAGTGGTAAAATTCATAAAAATAACTTGCTAATCATTTTTATAGAATTTTTGGTGATTTTTCAAACCTACTTGTTAGATTCAAAAATCTAAAATGTTTTCATTATTTAGCATCTTTAATTTCTTTATCAATTCTTACAACTTGCATCTTGATCTTCATCATTTTTACTTTATTCAAATCAATCCCCAACACTCCATCATTGTAAAAATATATTCAATTCAATACCTTCATAATTGCAATTCAATCCCTTATTTCCTAATCCATTCGAATTCAACCATCACACTTTACCAAATTTACAATTTGGTCTTAAATCAACATTCTAACTTAAAATTCAGTACCCAAATATTAGATTTCAACATTGAATCCTTATAATTGAAAATTTTCAATTAAATGTCCCATAATTCCCAAAACTTGCAAAATAGTCCTTTTACTTTAACAACTTCCAAATTGGTCCAAATAACTTTCTAAACTTACATATTTATCCATTCATCAATTCTAACCTCAAAATAATTTTCCACAAATTTTTCCCTATATTTCATCTTGGATGAACCTAATGAAGAAATTAGGGTGTACTTTTCATCCAATTTCAAGCATGATTTCAAGCTCCTATGATTAAATTCATGCAATTCTAATCATTCAACCATCAAATTCAATCAAAATTCAACCAATTCTCCATGAACCTTTCTAGGCCGAAACTATGCAATTCCAATCAATTTTACTCTTCACATAAACTTGAAAATTAATATACAACCTTAATAACATAAAAATCAAACTTTAAATCACCAAAATCAAACTTGTTCTTCATTCACCCAAATCATGAAATTCATAATCCAAGCATGATTTCCATAAAATAATTATACCAAATTATAGAGAATTTCAAGTAGATTAATTCTCTATCTAATAGCTTAACCAAAAAAATCAGCCATGGAAGCTTTAAAATCAAATTGAAAAACTCTCCCTTACCTACAATGAAGGTCACGGCCAAAGCTTGAAGAAAGCTAAAAATTCTAACAATTTCTCTCATAATTATCGTGATACACATTGCTTTATAATAATTAAACGAATTTAAAATTCATTTATAATTAATTTACTAATTTGTCATTAATGAAACTTGATAATTTCATCCATGCCACTCCATGACATCATCCTTTACATCATCATATCCATAAAAAATATAAGATCTTGATTTTTCATGTTTTCCCTTGTAAGTTCCAAAAATTACAATCTAATCACTTAAATCTGAGGATTCATATTCAACATGGAAAAATTATCTCAAATCCAATGATCGACATTTAATCCTTCCAAATTAAGATATGGAAATGACATTTTTGACCTTACCTTATCATCCTTCAAAATATCTCAAAAATCCAATTCATAACACAGCGTCCCGCAACAACTGTGATTTATTGATTGAAAATCTGTTTCAGAAAGCCACATGCTTTAATTTAAAAAAGACGTCTTTAATCAAACACATCCAGTTCATAACACAGCGTCTTGCAACAACTCAACCAATCACAACAGACGTCTCTGAAGAAATATGGAGACTGGAATGGAACCCATAACGGAACATGGTACCGACATAATCAAGACTGGAAAAATATTTCCATTTTTCGTTTAAAATGACTAGAACTGATGAGAGAGATAACCAGACTAATTTATAAATCCTTGAGATATTGTATTTCCATCGCCTTGTAGCGATTTGCGTCTCTTCATGCGTAGTTTAACCTGAATATGTCATTCAACACATAGAAGCTTCCTTGTGGTGTTGGCATCAAATGAAACATCTGGGAGCAGAAAGCAAAGCCAAAGTGTCTCGGTTAGTAAAGCTGATAACCAAAAGATGTCACAATATCATAACCAATTCAATGGTGGATTTGAAATGGCTAAAAACGAAAACCTGGAACTTACAGTAGATAAGAACATGCTCTATGAGAAAGCAAGTGATAAACCATAAGGAGGTCAACAATATCCCCAGGTGAACCTTTCAGAGTATGCAATGAGAGCACCCACTAATTTATTAAGTGAAGAGTGTAACTAAGCAAGCATAGAAGATTAAAATTGACAACCAAAGCTTGCCGAGTATAAAAAAGACATTAGGTACAGAAGAAAGCTATAGATTTCTTTCTATAGTAATCATACAATTATTTATAACTTTGCAACATAAAGCAAGAAGATAGGAAAATACAGAGCCCACAAGGTCCAATTAATCGCCATAAATAATGACTACGAACATGTAAATATGAAGAACCACATGATCATAACAAAATAAGATATAGCAAGTTCTTTTGCGAGATAATGGAACAAAAAAAAATCTATATCCTTCAAAACGTAATTATGATATTGATTATCTTATACTCGTCTCCCTTCTTAACTCGGTTATCAAAATCAATGGAAGGCATGCAAATTCAAATCACTATTGATTCATGCAATAGAGTTAATTCGATTCATACGATCCTGACTAATAAATCAAAATCTCAATCCAGAATTAAGCAGATGGATCACTAACAATTCGAATCGAGAAATCATGTCATCTATATTACCGATAAAATCAACAGTAAAAAACATATTAGCCTTCGATCGATCACTGAAGTAATCATAAAAACCCTACAAAACGGTAGAAAGAGAGCTACCTGGCTGAACTTGAGAGCATGCTGCTCGCCGGCGAGTTGTAGCGTGCCGGAGACGAAGACGAGCACACCGCCTGCGCCTGATGGCTGGCAATCGACGGTGGTGATATTATGCTTGCACTGCTGGAAAGGAAGGCCGGTTAGCTTAGCGACAATGTTCTGAGAGCCTTGGATCCATCGAAATTTTCTCTTCTTTATCAGAATTTGAATCGTCGCCTCGAGAAAGCTGTGACACAACAGTGCAAGGGCAAATGAAGAATTGTGTGGCGATCGAAGGTTATGTATGAATTAATAGGAGGATCGATCCAACGGCTGAAGTTTAATAATGAAAATCTAACTACAGGTGGCTGCGTGTTATGTCATCGTTTTTTTTTTTTTTGGCTTAATACACTTTTAGGTGCTTAAATATATCTTAAATTGATTTTTTGGTGTCTAAAGAATATTTTTTTTTGTTAAAAATAAGTATTTAATGTTTTTTCGTTACAACTTTAGACGTCTACCATTGTATTTTTTTTTTTTTTCAAGGACGTTAACCGCCATTAAAAATCTCTATTAAGTGACAAATGTCACGTTTTTAGTAATTTTGAGAATTTATTTAAAAAAATAAAAAATATTTTTTATTAAAAAAATGCCCCCTTCTCCTATTTCCTTTCCCTTTCTAAAAGTTGTCAGTCGACCAAAAGTGACTGTCACCACCACCGTCATCATCACCGGCGTCGATCCCTGATCAAACTCTTGATGATTTTTTGTCGTAATATGTTATTGTTTGCTGTGGAGAAGCATTTAAATGTTCATCAAATTTTAAGCCACCATTGTCGTTCTTCGTCGATTTCGACGTCCATAAATCACACCGCTGTCACCATTAGAACCACCGTGCTATTCCAATCAAGACCCAACCGTTCGACGACTACGATGATGGCCGCAGATAATCGACGACCGTTGGTAAAGAGGTTGAAATGAAATACTTTAGTTTTTAGGATTTTTTTATAATTTCCGTAAAAAGTTGGGTTTTTATATAAATAAATTATTTTTTCTTTTTTTAATTAAAAATATTTTTTATTATTAAAAAATTAAAAAATAAACGATAGATACTTAAAATTATAATTGATAAAACATTATACACATATTTTTAGTAAAATATTCTTTAGACACTAATACGTTTTTTGAGACATAATTTCGACGCTTTTTATATTAAACATATTTTTAATAATAAAAATATTAATTTTTTAAAAAAAGAAAATTTTCAAAAAGAACCGCATCGTTTCTCTCCCTTTCATTTTTCACCTCCAAATATAACAAACGGTCACCACCAACTGAGTTTTATTCGAAACATGATGAGAAATTTAATGGTGGTGGTCGTATAATCGGACAGCTAAGCTTGTCAATAGAAGGAGTGATGATTTCATTTTTCATGCGCACACTTTGAACAAGTAAGTCCTCACCCTCCATAAAATTCGGTTGAAACACAATATTGCACCGTCTCTTCCATATTTTCCAGCATATAATAGGGAAAAGAATACTCCAGTGCGTGGGTATCATCCAAAAAGGGCCATGCTCCTTTGCATTGGCTAAAATCCACATTTTCGTTGGCATCGACATGAATATCCTCAGCTTATCCGGTTCAATTAGATGTGAGCATTCGATCGAGTCTAGTTGAATCAAAAAATTCCTTGTTATTCGAGTTGACGAGTCGTATTTTACAACTCGAACTTAACTTGAATTTTTTTTGAATCGAGCCGAGTTTAAAGAAAGTATTTTGAGGGTAAAATATTGATGAGAGTATAAATGAGTCAAGGAATTGATGAGAAAAGAATTTGCAAACAATTGTAGTCAAAAGATCAAATTGACTAAAATGCAAAGTTAAGGGACTAAATAAAAAAGAGAGTACGTCTTTAGTAAAAAAATAACAATCGAAGTTACATAGATATTCTATTGTGGTATAAGAGCATGTGGTTCAAATTTGGTAAAAAAAAATGGACTTAAAATAAATCATAAATTGAAGGAATAAGGAGATTATGAAAAATTGAATAACTAAATTGAAAAATAAAAAAATTGTTATAAAAAAGATGAATTGAAGGTACACATGTATTTTACAATGGTTTAGGAGCATGTAGATCAAATTTCGTAAAAAAAATAGACTTAAAATAAATGACGAATTGAAGAAATAAGGAGATTATGAAAAATTGAAGGACTAAATTGAAAAATAGAAAATTTATTATCAAAAAGATGAATTGAAATTATACATGTATTCTACTATGGTTTAAGAGCATGTGGTTCAAATTTGGTAAAAATGAACTTAAAATGGAGGAGGAATTGAAGAAATAATAAAATAATGGACTAAAACATAAAACTGTAAAAAATACTTAGTCAAATATTCAGTTTTTTGAGTAACTCAAAAATTTAAAATTTTAACTCGACTCGAATTCAAAAACCGAATTTATAACTCGCGTTAACTCGAATAACTTGAAATCGAAAAAAAAAACGAACTATTTGCTCCAATTCAATGATTCTTCTCCAAATTTGAGAGGCAAAGTTGCACCGTCGAAGGACATGCATTATATCCTCCACTGTCGCGTTACGAAGAGGGAAATTTGTTGAAATTGCTAGGTGGCGCCTTGTACGTTCATTTGTCCTCATTTTGCCATAAACCACAATCCAAAAGAAGACTTTAACTCTTTGAGGAACCTAAAAATTCCAAATCCACTTCCAGTCCACACTATCCTTAACATGCAACGCCATAATAGACTCATGCAAGACGACTTCACAGTAAACCTATTATTTTTTTGGGAAATAAAACGAGAACGAGTAATTTTCCTATAACCAGATTAGTGAGAATGCGAAATAAAAGAGGAAAAATAATACCCGAAATTGATAACGGAGTTCAATCAATTTTGCTTACGTCTCCGGACTGTTGTAGATCTTTTACTAAAGAGAGAAAAAATACAGGTGTTTACAAAACACTCACTACTCACAAGAAAGCTCTCTAGTATTGGGGGAAAGAAATGATTTTTGGGATGATTTTGAAGCTAAATGAGCTAGGGTATTTATCGTTGAAGCTTAGGGACTAAACTTGTAAATATCCTAAAAATACAATGACTAAAGTTGCAATATTCCCATTTCCATTTCAAAAATAGTTGCCTATTTATTGTTTTTCCAGCCGCCCCATGTTGAATGTCTAAGCCGCCGACTGCTAGACATTTTCTCCAATAATCTCCCACTTGAAGACTGATTTTAATCTGTCTTCACACCTCAAGCAATGCAACAGTATTTCTGGTCTTATTACTCTAGCATGCCAACTGAAGTTGAACACAACTTCAGTTTGTCCGTGGTCACCGTCTTTGTCAACATGTCTGCCGGATTTTGAGTTTAACTAATCTTTTCAAATTTCAAAATCCCATATTCCAGAAGAGACCATATAAAATGATATTTCAATTGTATGTGCTTCGTCCTAGAATGAAAAGACGGATTCTTTGCTAGATGGATAGCACTTTGACTGTCTCAATAAAAGATATTGTTTTCTTGTTTCTTGCCTAACTCTTCCAAGAAACTTTGGAGCCAAACCATCTCCTTGTTGGCTTCCGTAATAGCGACATATTCTGCTTCAGTTGTGGAGAGAGCAACTATCTTCTGTAGTTGAGAAACCAAACTCACTGCAGTACCTCCTAGAGTATAGACATACCATGTAGTGCTCTTTCTGATGTCAACATTTACGGCTAAGTCAGTATATACATAGCCTGTCAGTATCGTATCTCCACCTTTGAAACAAAGTGCTTTGTTTGTAGTACCCCGCAGATATCTGAGGATCCATTTGACTGCTTCCCAATGTATTTTGCCCGGATTATTCATGTACCTGCTAACAGCTCCCACTGCTTGAGCAATATTTGGTCTGGTACAAACCATAGCATACATCAGACTTCCAATTGCTGAGGCATACGATACTTTCACCATGTGTGCACATTCTTCCTCCGTCTTTGGTGACTGTTCTTTGGAGAGTCTAAAATGAACACCTAAAGGTATACTTACTGGTTTAGAATCTTGCATGTTGAACCTGGAGAGTACTTTATTGATGTACTCAACCTGTGATAACATCAGAGTTCTCGACTTTGTGTCTCTCTTAATCCCTATCCCAAGAATCTACTTTACAACGCCCATATCCTTCATAGCAAACTGATTAGACAATTTTTTACTTCAAGTTTATAATCTCTTGCATGTCTGAACCTGCAATGAGCAAGTCATCAACGTACAACAATAAAATAATGAAGATGTTGTCGAACCTCTTGATGTAGCAACAATGATCTGCTTGGCATCTGGTAAAACCATTGCTACTCATGAAACTATCGAACTTCTTGTACCACTGTCGATGAGCTTGTTTTAAACAATACAAGCTCTTATTCAATCTGCATACCAGGTTTTTTTTTTGCTTGCCTCTATGAAGCCTTCTAGCTGCATCATATAGATTTCTTCCTCCAAATCACCATGAAGGAAAGTTGTCTTTATATCTAACTGCTCAAGATATAGATTCTCTGCAGCTACAATTTTCAACACCAGTCTGATTGTAGACAATTTCACGACTGGAGAGAAAATTTCATTGTAGTCAATACATTCTTTTTGCTGAAAACCTTTGACAACCAATCTTGCTTTGTAGTGTTTGCTCCCATTGTGCTCATCTTTGATTCTGTAAATCCACTTGTTATGGAGCACTTTCTCTTGCCTGATGATAATTCAGCTAATTCCCACGTCTGATTTGACATAAGCGAATCCATCTCATCTTTCATGGAAGACTCCCACTTGACTGAATCCTCCACCTGCATTGCTTCATCATAGCACTCTGGTTCACCATTGTCAGTCAGCAACAAGTAGTGCAAAGAAGGCGAATAACGTTGGGTTGGTTTAGGAATTATGGAGGAGCGTCTCAGTTCCGGTGTGCTTGGTTCTTCTTGAACTGCTTTAGGACTGATCTGAATATCATTTCCAAAAAAATCCTCGAACTCAGCAAATTCTTTTGTTTCAGCTTCAGTGTTAGAGCTGCTTGATTTTATGGTTGACCTGTCTTTGTACATCACATTTTCATTGAAAATGACATCTCTGCTTCTGATGATCTTTCGATTTTCGTAATCCCAAAACCGGTAACCGAACTCATCACCACCATAACCAACAAAGACACATTTGTTGGACTTGGCATCAAGTTTACTTCTTTCAGCAGAATTTATGTGTACATAAGAAATACAACCAAACACTTTTAAGTGTGAAAGGTTTCTTTCAGCTGTAGTGTTGATGGCTTCAGCCCATAGAATTTTTGGGCAATTCGTCATGTATCATCATGCTTATGGCACGTTCGTTCAGAGTTCTGTTCATGCACTCTGCTACGTCATTCTGCTGCGGTGTCATGGGAACTGTTGTCTCCATCTTGATCCCATTGTTTGCGCAGAAATCTCTGAATCTATTATTTCTGTACTCTCCTCCATTGTCAGACCTCAACCGCTTGACATTCAAACCAGTCCCATTTTTCACCATGACCTTCTATTTTCTGAAGGTATCAAAAAACTTCTGATTTATTCTTCAGAAAATAAACCCACACCTTCCTCGTAGAATCATCGATGAAGGTGACATAATATAATGAGCCTGCAAGATATGAAACTAGAGATGATCCCCATACATCAATATGAACCAACTCTAACCTTTCTGCCTTGGGTGTCTTGCCAATCTTTGCAAAACTGACTTTCTTTTGTTTTCCAAATATGCAATCCTCGCATAGTCCGACATCTACACTCTTTAGATCCGGTAATTTCCCTTTTGATAAAAATGTCTTCATCCCTTTCTCACTCATATGGCCAAGCCTTTGGTGCCATAGGTTTGATTTTCCGTCAGCATCTGCTGCAGCAATGATATTCTCTAATTTTGAGGTTACATGGAGAATACCAGTCTTCTTACCACGAGCAATGACGGGTGCTCCTTTGGTAATCTTCCATTCACAGCCTGAAAAGGTTATATTATAACCTTCTCCATCAAGCTGTCCTACAGAAATCAAATTTCTTTTGAGGCCAAGAATATGTCTCACTCCTTTCAGCGTCCAGGTGGTCTGGTTTGGCAGCTTTAATCGGATGTCTCCTTTTCTGACGATCTTCAAGGTTTCATCATCAGCTAGATGAACCTTCCCAAAATCACCACTAACATAGTTCTCCATGATTTCTCGGCATGGGGTGGAGTGGAAAGATGCCCCTGAATCCAAGATCCATGATTCAATCAGACTGTTAACGCTTAGAATCATGGCATCACCTGTCTCCTATGTCATGTTGGCTTCTTGTGCGCCGATATCTTTCTTCAATGCTCGTCAATCTCTTTTAAAGTGACCCTTCTTATCACAATTATAACAGGTAAAATCTTTCTTTCCCGTTCTTGATTTTCCCGTTCTGGATTTCAATCTGCCATAATTTGAATTTCTTTCTGAAGTTCTCCCTCTAGACTCCGTATGCAAAGCTGAGGAGCTTGATGCTTCACCCGATTCTCTCCGTCGAATTTCTTCACTCAATACTAGATCCCGAACATCGTCGAATTTCAATTTGTTGTTTCCCGACGAGCTGCTGACTATTGTAACAGTAGCATTTCAACTGTCTGGTAGAGACGATAAGAGAATTAAAGCTCGAACTTCATAATCGAATTCAATTTTCACAGAACTCAACTGGGTTGTGATTGTGTTGAGTTCATTTAGGTGTTGAGCCACTGATGCCCCTTCCGCTATCCGTAAATTGAATAATCACCTCATCAAGTGAACTTTGTTTGAGGCCGATGACTTCTCATACATACTGGAGAGAGCCGCCATAAGACCCGCCGTGGTCTTTTCCTTTGTTATGTTGAAAGCAACATTTCGGGACAACGTCAGTCGGATAACTCCGAGGGCTTGTCTGTCGAAAAGAGCCCAGTCTTCATTCTTCATGCCCTCTAGTTGTTTTCCTGAGAGAGGTTGATATAGATTTTTATGGTACATAAAATCTTCAATCTGCATCTTCCAAAAGCCAAAGTCTGCACCATCGAACTTTTCAATTTTCACATTCCCTTCATCTGCAGCCATCGCTCCCACTCGAATATAGCTTCTTTGGATCGTTTATGACAATTCTTGCGAACCACCGTGTATTAGAACACTCCCGTCGATAAATTCGTATCGCCGATTTTTTTTTTACTATTCACAAAATTTACTATTTACATGAATAGTAATGAATAGTAACCTTGCAAAAAAAATTGACAAAAATCACAACCAAAAGCTCTGATACCAGTTGTTGGGAAATAAAACGAGAACGAGTAATTTCCCTATATCCAGATTAGTGAAAATGCGAAATAAAAGCGGAAAAATAATACCCGAAATTGATAACGGAGTTCATCCAATTTTGCTTACGTCTTCGGACTGCTGCAGATCTTTTACTAAAGAGAGAAAAATTACAGGTGTTTACAAAACACTCAATACTCACAAAAAAACTCTCTAGTATTGGGAGAAAGAAATGATTTTTGGGATGATTTTGAAGTTAAATGAGCTAGGGTATTTATAGTTGAAGCTTAGGGACTAATCTTGTAAATACCCTAAAAATACATGGACTAAAGTTGTATATTTTCATTTCCATTTCAAAAATAGCTGCCCATGTATTGTTTTTCCAGCCGCCCCATGTTGAATGTCTAAGCCGGTAGCTGCTAGGCATTTTCTTGTACTTTTGTCCAATAATTTCCACACCGACTTATCCTTACTAAGCAAAGGATTTGGTGGACAAATTGTTGCGATTTTGCTATAGACGTGGTTCGACACAAGACCACACAACCTCTCCCAGTCCCAATTTCCAGTAGCCATGATCATCGAGCATGGGAGTTGGTTGAGGTGTTGGGTGGTGAAGGCAATGGTTAACTAGCAAGTCCGAATCATTTAACCAATTATCGTATCAGAAATCTGTTTGCATATCATTTCGAATGCTCCAAATAACGCTATTCTTGAGATCTTCTCAAACGTACACCAAACCTTTCCACAACTTGGAACATCTTGGATGGTTTATGATTTCAGGAATTTGACCACGCCAACGGTACTAATGTTTAATGAGTTGTATCCATAATTTGTCATATCCTCAACCAAATTCATACCAAGCTTCATAAGAAAGGTCTTATTTTGTCGATCTAAGTCTTTGAAGCCCAATCAACCTTCATCCATTGTTTGCTTGACTACCTCCCATTTGATCAAGGCTAGTGTATTGGTTCCCTTATTCGTATTCCATAAAAATCATCGGATAAGCTTTTATAACGTTTCACACGTACCTTTCGGTAGCCAAGAGGACTACATCGTATAATATGAGATTGTCTGAAGTACCGACTTTGCAAGAGTAATACGACCGACCATAGATAAGGTTTTAGCCGCCCAACCCAAGAGGTGTTGTTCCACTCTTTCAATCCAATACTTGTATGTGGCATTTGTAAACATGTTATGAAGAAGGAGAATCCCAAGATAATTCTCCAGATTGGTAACTTCTTAAAATCCAAGTGCATTAGCAATCATCGTTTTCCTCGTGGCATCGCAATTCTTAAAAAAAAGAAGATATTAGTTTTTGCCTGACTTACACGATGAATAGAACAAGTGCAAAAACCTTCCATAACCTCTTTAATCACCATCACTTGCCCCATTGAGGCTTCAGCAAAAGGAATTAGTTCATCTACGAAGAAGAGATGTGAAATGCCCGACCCCCTCGGGAGAGGTGAATTTGCCTCAAAGACCCAGAATCAACCCTTCGATTGATAGCATGAGACAACCGCTCCATGCAGAGTACAAAGATATATGGGGCTAGAGGATCCCCTTGACCAATGCCCCGTGAAGGTTTAAAGCTCTCTGTAACAACCCCATTCCATAATACTTGAGTTGTAACAGTCGTGACACAGGTCATGATCCAGTTGATGAATTTAAGAGGTAATCACACCTCAATAAGAGTCTCTTCAATAAACTCTCATTCTAATTGGTCATATGTTTTTACGAGATCAACTTTAATTGCTATGTATGCCTTAGACCATTTCTTTAGTTTCATGGAATGAATTACTTCCTGGGAGAGGATAATATTATCAGTAATATTATGTCCCGGCACGAAACCTGATTGATTATGTGATATCCAATCAGGGAGTTGAGGTTTTAATCGATTAACAAGAATCTTAGTAACAATCTTGTAAGGTGTCGTACACAAACTGATAGGCTTGAATTATGATATCTGCTCGGGAACATCCACCTTTGGGATCACCACCAGAAGAGTTTTATTTGCCCACCCTGGAAGAAAATCCCTTGCAAAGAAATCCACCAAAAACCGAGTAATGTTATCCCCTAATATACTCCAATTCTCTTGGAAAAATTCTTCTTGGGGGCTTTTGAAGGGTGCATCGAGAGCAAAGTTTGTCAAATTTCCTCTATTGTTGCATCTTTGATAAGAAGCTCCAATTGATTCTCCTGCACATGTTGAAAGCCGCCTATGAATTCTGCAAGCAACATTTGTCTACCATTTGATGTAAACAAATTACGAAAAGAATTAGAGGCATGTTACCGCAAAACCTCAAGATCATCACACCACTTATTATCATCAGTCTTCAACATACAAACACTATTCCTTCTTCTTCTATTCAGCATGGACGCATGGAAAAATCTAGTGTTACAATCTTCTTGTTTGATCCATTTGCTACGAGACTTCTGGTACCACAGACTTTCCTCTTTCTTAAGAACTATATCGAGTTCCTGCTTAAGGTTATCATATAGGTCCAAAATAAAAGGTGTCTCGGACTTTTCAAGGGCGATTTCAATTCCCAGTATCTGAGAGAGGAGAAGAGTCTTCTGTTTTCCAATATGGCCAAAAACTTCAAGTTTCCATCTTCGAATTTTCTCTTAAAAGGTGAATAGATTATCAAAAATAGAAGCTTGATTGTTCCAATTGCTAGCCAAGAAATAACAAAAGTCAAGGTTACTAATAAAATTAAAACAGTGCAATGCATGATCAAACCTCCCGATTTTCGTTCGAATCCCCTTCGAAGGTTGTGTTCGTATGCCATTGTACATCACCTCCTTCAGAGTTTGTCGAATTTCCTCTATTGTTGCATCTCTGATAAGAAGCTCCAATTGATTCTCCTGCACATGTTGAAAGCCGCCTATGAATTCTGCAAGCAACATTTGTCTACCATTTGATGTAAACAAATTACGAAAAGAATTAGAGGCATGTTACCGCAAAACCTCAAGATCATCACACCACTTATTATCATCCGTCTTCAACATACAAACATTATTCCTTCTTCTTCTATTCAGCATGGACGCATGGAAAAATCTAGTGTTACAATCTTCTTGTTTGATCCATTTGCTACGAGACTTCTGGTACCATAGACTTTCCTCTTGCTTAAGGACTATATCGAGTTCCTGCTTAAGGTTATCATATAGGTCCAAAATAAAAGGTGACTCGGACTTTTCAAGGGCGATTTCAATTCCTAGTAATCGAGAGAGGAGAAGAGTCTTTCGTTTTCCAATATGGCCAAAAACTTCAAGTTTCCATCTTCGGCTTTTCTCTTAAAAGGTGAATAGATTATCAAAAATAGAATCTTGATTGTTCCAATTGCTAGCCAAGAAAGAACAAAAGTCAAGGTTACTAATAAAATTAAAACAACGCAATGCATGATCAAACCTCTCGATTTTCGTTCGAATCCCCTTCGAAGGTTGTGTTCGTATGCCATTGTACATCACCTCCTTCAGAGTGAATCAGCTCCTGAAGACAAGCAATTCCCAAATTCGAACTAGAACTTGCTTGATTAAGTTTGCTAGTTAGAGAAGCGATCCAATCCACAAGTACCGGTTTGGTCGGTCCCTTATCCTTCTTCTTCTTCGTTCTAAGACCTTTCTTTGCCAATCCTTTATTTGCTAGTAACTTCAAACTATTCTTGTGAATTACTCCCAAATTGGATCGACCATTAACATCTGTAAGGGCTCGCCTTTTTTTCTTCCACTCCAATCTTTATAGCTGCGTGGCTTCCGATCTTCCCAAGCGAGCAAACTTGTACCACTTTCTCGTTGGTTGTAACTATAGCTAATTCACGTCTTCCTGCATGAGCGTTACTTCCAGTATCTATAGATGGAATCTTAGGATTAACCTGTTCTTTCACACTATTTTTAATAGGATTGTTCGAAGGTAACTGATATGCCAAATCAACCACAAAAAACAGTCTGCTTTTTTTTCCTTGTTGCTTATTGCATGATCCACCTTGTTTTTTGCTTCCCTATTATCATCAGCGGGATACTTTGAGGTCCTCTCCTCCTTCGAAAGGTTGTTGATTACATTCTCATTATTTTGTGTCAGGTTTTCCTCACATTCCAGCACAGTAAGGGCCTCGTAACGGGAACCACCAACGAGATTCTCTTTCTCATAATTGTTCTTATTAGGGGCCATCAATCTCTTTTCCGTTGGAGCTTTCTTCTTCCTTTGAACCACCTGCATACTACATGTATGTATCATTTATACCATCTGTACTACATGTCTCCTTTGAATGACCATATTTTCCACACCCACATCAGATGGTAGGCAGTCCCTCATACTCAATACCCTAACAATTCCCATCTATAATAATCCCTGGTACTAGAGGTTTTTCTAAATTAACTACAATTGCCAATCGAGAAAATCTCTCACTCTTTCCTTCTGTGGTATTGTAGTCGATTTTCACAATCTTCCCCAAGGCTCCAACAATCATACTCTTGTTATAATATCGATATGGTAATCCCGGTAGTCGAACCCACACCAGGATCGTTTTGGGATAACCTTCCGAGTAGAGAAGTTTCTCGCCCAAAGTTACACTGTTAAATAGCTGCCATAAACCATCCGTGGCCCCCCGCCTAAGACATTAAGGTAATCATCTTTCCGAGCAAAGCGAACGAAGAAGTATTCATTGTCTAAATCCACAAGTTGCATATCCTCATTCAGTCTCCACAGTATTTGAATCCGCATTAATACAACTTTATACCCTATTTTCTTCCCTAGTAATCGAACTATTAACGAGTTCGATAGTTTTTCTTGTATAGATCGGTGAACTCTTTCTGAGAACTGAATAACCGAAATCGATCCTTCCATGCCTCTGAACATTGTCCTCCAATAACTCCACATCAAAATCGCCTATGACAGAATCTTTTTGATTAGTTTCATACCCTCCGCATTCTGCAACCGTGTCTTTGAAGGACGGCTTTGGAGGAGCAACATCTTTCAGACCCTCTTTTCCATTCATATCCATTGGAGACTTGGAATTTTCATTCAACGCATCTCTCATGATGTCATCCAATGCACTTGTTTCTCTCACTCTCATATCGAGATCTGGGATATTCATTGAGAGATTAGCGTTCTTCAGTTTCTTTCTTGTCGGCCTATCCTCCATGGCAGTCTCACTCCCCGGTCTTTCCAGGGGAATCGATCCACTTACATGGCCAATTATATCCGACGGCCGTCCCGACGGGTTGACTTCTAGGGAAACGGTAGGGTTTCCAAAATCTCCGGAGGGAATCATTAGCCGTCTATTTTAGTTTTAGGTTATAGTGCTTAATTTTTAAAAATGTGATTAAGTACCTATTTTTAGTGCACTTATACACTTATTTTTTATTTTTGGTAAATTAATCATTTAACTTTTATTTTTTTACTAATAGATATCTAACAATTATTTAAATTATTTAACCATGATAGTTACGTATTTATTTATTTTATTAAATTAAAGATAATTATAAAATAATATTTATTTTAAGTACTCTTAATCATTAAATTATAATTCTGAAGTTGTTTAGTTAGAATGATAATGTGTGTTAATATTAAAAAATCAGCCACCAAAATTTTAATTATGAGACGATATAATTTTTAAAAAAAAAACTAAATACCTAATTATATCAAAAATAAAAGTTGGGTACAATGTTGCCCCCAAAAACTTAGGTATCTAACTGTACTATTAAAAAACTTGGATACTATATTGTAAGTAAATACCAAAGTTAGATACCAGATTGCATCAAAAAAAATCAAATACCACAATACACATAAAATTTAATTATAATTTTGTAAAATGAACATTAAAGTTATCAAATCATTGCAAACTAATCATTAAATTTATTAGACTATTATAAAACGACCACCATACGTTAAATAATGATAAATTTTGATAATTCAAGAAATATTTGATAAGTTTTAATAATCAATTTATAATAAATTAATGACATTTAATGGTGATTTTGCAACTGCTTGGGAAGTATACTTACTTATTTTGTAAATTTAAAATTTTATTAACTAAAAAAATATTTTAACATAATTTAGTTACCATTTATATATTTTAGCCTTTACAATATTGCTTCTTGCCGTTGCCCCCTTCAGTACCGTCCAAATAACTGCCGCAACTTGCAACCAACTTTTTTTACCGCCACATGTCCTCATGTTTTCATTTACTTATTTATTTTCAAATAAATAAAATAAAAACAAATCAGGAAAAAAGCAAATTCTATCGTCCCAAAAAGCACAAGATTTCTTCATCTCTCGCTTTTATGCTTCAGTTGTTGTTTTTTCCCTCTATTTCCAGTCTCCGAGTCAACTCCGAGTCAGAGTCAGACTCGGCTGTGGCCGATCTTTAAGTAACTCACCAGTAAGTTCATTTCTTTGACATGTTTTCTTGTTTTTGATTGATAAAGAGAGTAATAGTGGAAGCACATGAACTTCTGAAAATGGAGAAACGTCTCGCTTTTGCGGCTCAGATTGATACATTAATTTCTTCATACATTATTCTATTATTATGTCAATTATTTGAGCTTTTGATAAAGTTAATATGAAAAATAAATTAATAGATGTTCGGAAAAAGAAGAAAATAATTTTATAGATTCCTTTATAATTTATATTGCTTCACCTTTTTAGTTTGCTCATTGTTGTTTTATCACACTCTTATTTTCTTGTTTTCTGGGGAAAGTGAAAGAAAACGACTACGGTTTTTCTTTCTGTTTAAAATAAGATTTTCCTTTTCGATTCACTTTATATTTCTGGCTAAAATTAAGCTAGGTTTTTTTTTTTAAAATAACGATATGAATTTGTTGGGTGATACCTGGATAAGGAGTAATACTTTCTAAAAATTTCTTTCTTTAATGATTTCTATAAAAATTGATTTAATTTATTTCTTTTTTTTAATAGGATTTAGAGGATGAATTTATGAGTATGATTTTATTGTTTGAACTAATTTTTTATGCATTTACTGTATTTGACTATATGTTGATTGGCTCTCGTATTTTCTTACATCTGACCTATATTTAAGGCTGTAAGCTTTTGGAATTTATGGTGGATTAGGGTTTCATTCAATACTTCTTAAAGTATAGTTCAGTCTTTTGTGGGTCACAGTCAGGGACCTACTTTGTGGAATTGCCCAGATAATTGAATTATTGAATGTGGATTATTGAAGGTGTGAAGGTTTTTAGAGTACGGTAGCATCAGTAAAATTAAAACCTAAAAAAAAAATCCTTTACTTGAAATCTGTTACTGCTTCCTACAATTATTGGAGAGAGAGAGCTGGTTGTTAAGGGTGCAGAAACAAGGTAGTTAGTTTCCGATGTGTTGAAGGGTAAATACTAAATTCCTCTAGGACTTTTGTGGTGGAATTTGATCCAAGTATTACACTTTCAGGTTTGGGAAATACCTGTTTATACTTTTTTGGGATTGAAGTGAAAATTTTTATCTTGATTTTGTAGCCTTACATACGTACAAGAGCGAATAGAAATCCTTTGGAATTATGTTGTCAGCTTATTTGTGTTGGCCATAATGGAAGGAGGAGAAAGCTGTACTACTTTTTGTTCTGAATCTGTGTCGCCTAATCTGTTGTCTTTTTCCCGTCTCTTTTGAGTTGTCAGTTTTTGAAGGATGGAAATTGTTATCAGCATACAAAATTGCTTGGAATTAAAAGTGGTTGCTAATTTAGTTCGACCTCTCTATACTTTGGTTGCAGTTTTTCAGTGAAGTGGATTCCATTTGTCATCAGAAAATGCTTTTAATGTTAACGGGGATTGACATTTTTTTTAAGTTGCACTCCTCTAGATCTGAGGAACAGAGATGAGTGAGCTCTGATGCTGTTGGATTTAGAGGTAAAATTTTCTCTTTGTACAACCAGAATGATTAAGCTTATTTTTGTTTTGTTTTGCATGCTATACATCTATATAGAAACCATAAATGGTCTCCTTCATCTATAGTTGAACTTAGCATGAATGCCTGATTGAAACTTTTTTCCTGATTTATTTCCTCAGTGAACTGAACAAGCCTCAAGGTTATATTTTCAGGATCTTGTGACAAGTTAGCTTGTGTTTTTTTATGCACTTAGTTTTCTTTTCGTTCTGTTTCTCTGATGGATTGGAGTGCCAAAAACCCCTTGCAATGGGACTGGGAAAATTTAATGATGTTAAATGCACCACCGACTGAAATTCCAAGGAAGCTGAGACCAGTAGAGTGGCATATTGATGGAGATGAAGGAATTAACTTAAGGTCTGTCTATTCTCCCGGTGCTGCTGGGGTTAGTGGAGGTTCTGGCTCAGATTTGGGCCTTGCTTCTCTGTCTAAAAGTTCAAAATCGGCATCTAATTCATCTACGGGGGAGGTAAAGGCAGCCAGGCATACTTTGGAAGCCTTTGAAGCTGTACCAGATGGTATTAACAGCCAGAAAGAAGCTTCCATGGTTGAGCTGGCTGGTACATCCCCAACACTTGAGGCTTCCGTTGGCTCTGGTGAGCCATTGCTTGGTTTAAAGCTTGGAAAAAGAACATACTTTGAAGATGTTTCTGCAGGAAGCAATGCTAAGAATGTGTCTTATCAATCCACTCCTGTACCATCTCCTACCCCAGCAAAGAGATCCAAACGCAATTGTCAGGGCACACACGTTCCACGTTGCCAAGTCGAAGGCTGTAACCTTGACCTGTCTTTAGCTAAGGATTACCATCAGAAACACAGAATTTGTGAAAGTCATTCAAAGAGCCCAAAGGTCATTGTACGTGGTCTAGAACGCCGGTTCTGCCAGCAGTGTAGCAAGTAAACCTTTTTTTTATTCAACATAATTGTATCCAAGAATACTTCTTGTTAAGTGTGAACTTTTGCATTGTGATATTTTAGTTCTCTTAGTATCGAAGATGCGGTTCTTAGCAGTAATTATTTCATTAATTAGTACTGGCCTTGTGATTCAATCTCTTACTGAATGTTAAAATGATAATTATGTTCATGATGTTCAAGGTTGCATGCCCTGTTGGAATTTGATGAAAAGAAGAGAAGTTGTCGCAGGCGTCTTTCTGATCACAATGCTAGACGCCGTAAACCACAAACGGAAGCATTCCACTTCAATGCTGCAAGACTTTTGTCATCATCAAATGGTATTGGCTTCGGACATAGATTTGATGTGTTTTGTGCATATAATTTTTTCTGTATGCTAGTCTCGCAGGAGTTGACTAACTGGAAGCATCTTTCATTTTTGTTTTCTCTCAGCTCTCAAATTATAGGCATTTGTGATATTTTTTTATGAACTTCAAAATGGTTATTGGAAGGCAATGGTAATACAATATCTTTGTACATGTTTCGTAATGTTTGCAAATAATAATGTCAATGGGTATGCCCAGGCTTTGCTATATTTTTTTCCTCTTCTGATTTTTACTCTTATAAATGGTGCACACTTGTGTTGAAGCCAATGGTATAATTGTTTGTTATTGTTTTCTTGTATATTTCATATTTGTTACCTTTATTTGCGACTAATTGTATAATAAGAAAAGCATATTTTTCTTGTGTCCAAATTTCTGATGCTTTTTGAATTCCTTTCATGCATTACTTAAAAGTCGTATGCCATTTTACATGTCCATCGAGATACTGTGAGAGTTACGTATTTCGTGCTTATCAAATATTTTCTTTGATTTTATTCTGGGACATGATATAATCAAATAGTTTGGGGAAGATTCACATCATACTTTATTGGATGCTATGATTATAATATAATTGCTGTTCCAGCTTTCAAGTTTGTGTATGGTTCGATTAGCTGTGCCTCTACATGGTGCAGATGGGAAGCAACAGATGAGTTTTGACCGGAATAAAGTATCAGTTCTTCATAATGCTAGACCCAACGAGGATTTTGCATGGGAAAGCACACTTGACTCCAAGCCCTTTCAACTTAAAGGCTATAATCCTACAAAAATTGGAAATGTCAATGGACAGCAACACCTTCCTGGCAATCAGCTGTTGAGTTCGATCACAATGCGATGTCATGATTCCAATGGATACCTGCATACGAAGGGCAAGCAAAGCACAGCTGATGTTCTTAACCAAGGTTTGTTTTGTTTTTCTTACTAGGAAATTAAGTTTTATGATATATGGGTTTTTGATCATTTAGATATATTATGTGCCATCTTCTAGTGCTATTTTAACAAATAAATTGCTTTGAAATGCACCTGTAAATGCCCCTAGAACTCTCCCTTTCACTATTTAGGTCTCAACTTTGGCAAAATATTCTCTGGCCAATTCATCATAACATATCTTCAATTCCTCACTAAAAGGTAAAGAACTAAAGGTGCCTTGCTTTTGCTTTTGCTGTGACATGTCAAAGTGTTGCTAGTAGTTATGTGGTTTGTTGGTAGAACTTTAGACTTTTAGTGCTAGGGATCAGACCCTGACAAGCTCAAGTATGAGAGGAAAAAAAAAGACATCGAATCATCGAATAAGGAAATATCGTACCACAAAAGCAAACCATTGAGCCACCCATCCTCCTAACCCTTTTGCTTAATTTTGAATGACGCCAAATTTTCCACGAAGTAAATTGGTTCATCATAGGCTCTTCCATATGATGTTTTGGTTTGTTTATTAGATTTATGAAAACGGTTCTTGTATCTCTGGATCCTTGTGCTATAAAGCTTATCCCGAACACTTTTGGATAGCATTTGATGAATCTTTTGTACTTGAATCTGGTATTCTAGAAATAGCATGCATAGAGAGTTGGCTGTAGAAATTGAGGGAACAGTTTCTTAAGAATAACCAGTGTACATTTAAATGACATGCTGCCCTCCATGGGGAATGGAGCAATGCAGCCCGAGGAACACGTTCCTATAGAAAAATAATTTAGCAATGTTAGCTCTTAAGCTCAGAAAACTTTTTCCGAAACATGATACATGAGCTACAGCCTACAGACTGATGTTACATGATGCTTTCCTTACTGAACTGATTTACAAGCGAAACAAGTTCTGTCAAAATTTGTAGGTGTAGAAGAATCCACAATTGCATCAGATATGGCTACGGCTCAAGATCTTCATCGTGCTCTCTCTCTTCTGTCAAATGATTCATCGGTTTCTTGTGAGCCAAAACACGGTTCGGTTGCCTACCCCATGCATGTTGATCCTACTACCAGTGTGTCTCAGCAGCCTAAGAATGCAATTTCGCAAGGATTTCTGATGGAACATCAGACAGCTGAATCCCAAGTGCATAACAGTGATGGTGACAACCATTTCCAAGAGTTCCAGCCGCTCAAGGCTCCCTATGATAATGGCTTCTATTCCAACCAGATGAACTGACTTCACAAAATGGTCCAATTCTGCATTTTTCTTCTTTCCATAATTTGGAATTTGTGATCCCATTGGAATCAATTCAAAGCTTAAAACATTTTCGATTCGAACTCACAGTTTCCTCTTTTATATGTTACAAAAGCATGCTTAATATTATAATTGTTTCTGTTGGAAAATAAAACGAGTAACAAGTAATTTCCCTATAACCAGATTAGTGAGAATGCGAAATAAAAGCGGAAAAATAATACCCGAAATTTATAACGGAGTTTAGCCAATTTGCTTACGTCTCCGGAATGTTACAGATCTTTTACTAAGAGAGAAAATTTACAGGTGTTTACAAAACACTCACTACTCACAAGAAAACTTTCTAGTATTGAGAGAAAGAAATGATTTTTGTGATGATTTTGAAGCTAAATGAGTTAGAGTATTTATAGTTGAAGATTAAGGACTAATCTTATAAATATCCTAAAGTCCAGTGACTAATAATAATTATCTCATTACAATTTTTCAACAAATATCTACCAAACTTTGAAAAAACATTTTTCAAAGAAATATTTACCAAACTTTGAAAACCATTTTCAAAGAAACATTTACCAAACTTTGAAAATCATTTTTTCAAAGTTGGTTGCCAAACTTTGAACTTTTAACAATATCTCACTTGAAGACTGATTTTAATATGTCTTCACACCTCAATCAATGCAGCAACTTTTATAGTCTTGTTACTCTAGCATGCCAACTGAAGTTGAACACAACTTCAGTTTGTCCGTAGTCACCGTCTCTGTCAACATGTCTGCTGGATTTTGAGCTCCACTAATCTTTTCAAGTTTCAAAATCTCATCTTCTAGAAGAGACCGGATAAAATGATATCTCAATTGTATGTGCTTCATCCTGGAATGAAAAGACGGATTCTTTGATAGATGTATAGCACTTTGACTGTCGCAATACAAGATATTGTTTTATTGTTTCTTGCCTAACTCTTCCAAGAAACTTTGGAGCCAAACCATCTCCTTGTTGGCTTCCGTAACAACGACATATTCTGCTTCAGTTGTGGAGAGAGTAACTACCTTCTGTAGTTGGGAAACTCAACTCATTGTAGTTCCTCCTAAAGTATAGACATACCCTGTAGTGCTTCTTCTAATGTCGGCATTTCCGGTTAAGTCAGCATCTACATAGCATGTTAGTATCGTATCTCCACCTTCGAAACAAAGTGATTTTTTTGTGGTACCCCGTAGATATCTGACGATCCATTTGACTGTTTCCCAGTGTACCTTGTCTGGATTATTCATGTACCTGCTAACAGCTCCCACTGCATGAGCAATATCTGGTCTGGTACAAACCATGACATACATCAGACTTCCAATTACTGAGGCATACGACATCTTCACCATGTGTGCACATTCTTCCTCCGTCTTTGGTGAATGTTCTTTGGAGAGTCTAAAATGAACAGCTAAAGGTGTACTTACTAGTTTAGCATCTTGCATGTTGAACCTGGAGAGTACTTTGTTAATGTACTCAGCCTGTGATAACATCAAAGTCCCCGACTTTGTGTCTCTCTTTATCCTCATCCCAAGAATCTGCTTGCAACGCCCAGATTCTTCATAGCAAACTGCTTCGACAATTTTTGCTTCAAGTTTATAATCTCTTGCATGTCTGAGCTTGGAACAAGCATGTCATCAACGTACAACAATAAAATAATGAAGCTATTGTCGAACCTCTTGATATAACAACAATGATCTGTTTGGCATCTGGTAAAACCACTGCTACTCATGAAGCTATCGAACTTCTTGTACCACTGTCTAGGAGCTTGTTTTAAACCATACAAGCTCTTCTTTAACCTGCATACCAGGTTTTTATTTCCTGCCTCTATTAAGCCTTCTGGCTACATCATATAGATTTCTTCCTCCAAATCACCATAAAGGAAAGTTGTCTTTACATCTAACTGCTCAATATGTAAATTTTCTACAGCTACAATTTTCAACACCAGTCTGATTGTAGATAATTTTACAACTTGAGAGAAAATTTCATTGCAGTCAATACCTTCTTTTTGCTGAAAGCCTTTGACAACCAATCTTGCTTTGTAGCGTTTGCTCCCATCGTGCTCTTCTTTGATCCTGTAAATCCACTTGTTATAAAGCACTTTCTTGCTTGGTGGTAATTCAACTAATTCTCATGTCTGATTTGACATAAGCGAGTTCATCTCATCTTTCATGGAAGACTCCCACTTGACTGAATCCTCCACTTGCATTGCTTCATCATAGCACTCTGGTTCACCATTGTCAGTCAGCAACAAGTAGTGCAAAGAAGGAGAATACCGTTGGGTTGGTTTAGGAATTCTGGAGGAGCGTCTTAGTTCCGGTATGCCTGGTTCTTCTTCAACTGCTTCAGGACTGATCTGAATGTCATTTCCAGAAATCTCCTCGAACTCAGCAAATTTCTTTGTTTCATCTTCGGTGTTTGAGCTACTTGATTCTATGGTTGATCTGTCTTTGTACATCACATTCTCATTGAAAATGACATCTTTGCTTCTAATGATCTTTCGATTTTCATAGTCCCAAAACTGGTAACCAAACTCATCACTGCCATAACCAACAAAGGCACATTTGTTGAACTTAGCATAAAGTTTACTTCTTTCAGCAGAGTCTATGTGTACATAAGAAATACAACCAAACACTTTTAAGTGTGAAAGGTTTATTTCTTTCTTGCTCCAAACTTCCTCTGGTATTCTGCCATCTAAGGGAACTGAGGGCCCATAGTTGATCAGGTAAGCTGCAGTGTTGATAGCTTCAGCCCAGAGCAATTTGGGCAAGCCGACGTGTATCCTTATGCTTCTGGCAAGTTCATTCAGAGTTCTGTTCATGCGCTCTGCTACGCCATTCTACTGCGGTGTCATGGGAACTGTTCTCTCCATCTTGATTCCATTGTTTGCGCAAAATGTTCTGAATATACTATTTCTGTACTCTCCTCCATTATCAGACCTCAACCGCTTGACTTTCAAATCAGTCTCGTTTTCCACCATGGCCTTCCATTTTATGAAGGTATCAAAGACTTCTGATTTCTTCTTTAGAAAATAAATTCACACCTTCCTTGTTGAATCATCGATGAAGGTGACATAATATAGTGAGTATGCAAGGGATGGAACTAGAGATGATCCCCATACATCAGTATGAACCAACTCTAACTTTTCTGCCTTGGATGTCTTGCCAATCTTTGCAAAACTGACTTTCTTTTGTTTGCCAAAAATGAAATCCTCACATAGTCCGACATCTACATTCTTTAGATCCGGCAGCTTCCCTTTTGATAAAAGTGTCTTCATCCATTTCTCGTTCATATGGCCAAGCCTTTGGTGCCATATGTTTGATTTTCCATCAGCATCTGCTGCAGCAATGATATTCTCTAAATTTGAGGTTACATAGAGAGTATCATTCTTCTTACCACGAGCAATGACGAGTGCTCCTTTGGTGATCTTCCATTCACAACCTAAAAAAGTTGTGCTATATCATTCTCCATCAAGTTGTCCTATAGAAATCAAATTTCTTTTGAGGCCAGGAATATGTCTTACTCCTTTCAGTGTCCAGGTGGTCTGGTTTGGCAACTTTAATCAGATGTCTCATTTTTCGACAATCTTCAAGGTTTCATCATCAGCTAGATGAACCTTCCCAAAATCACCACTGACATAGTTCTCCATGATTTCTCGGCATGGGGTGGAGTAGAAAATGCCCCTGAATCCAAGATCCATGATTCAATCGGACTGTTGACGCTTAGAATCATGACATCACCTGTCTCCTCTGTCACGTTGGTAGATTCTTGTGCACCGGTATTTTTCTTCGGTGCTCGACAATCTCTTTTAAAGTGACTCTTCTTGCCGCAGTTATAACAGGTAAAATCTTTCTTTCCCGTTCTTGATTTTCCCCTTCTGGATTTGGATCTGCCATGATTTGAATTTCTTTATGAAGTTCTCCCTCTAGACTCTGTGTGCAAGGCTGAGGAGGTTGATGCTTCACCTGATTCTCTCCGTCGAATTTCTTCGCTCAGTACCAGATCCCAAACATCGTCGAATTTTAATTTGTTGTTTCCCGACGAGCTGCTAACTACTGTAACAGTAGCATTTCAACTGTCTGGTAGAGATGATAAGAGTATTAAAGCTCGAACTTCATTATCAAATTCAATTTTCATGGAACTCAACTGAGTTGTGTTGAGCTCATTTAGGTGTTGAGCCATTGATGCCCCTTCTGTCATCCGCAAATTGAATAATCGTCTCATCAAATGAACTTTGTTTGAGGCCGATGGCTTCTCATACATACTGGAGAGAGCCGCCATAAGACCCGCCGTGGTCTTTTCCTTTGCTATGTTGAAAGCAACATTTCGGGACAACGTCAGTCGGATAACTCCGAGGGCTTGTCTATCGAGAAGAGCTCAGTCTTTATTCTTCATGCCCTCTGGTTGTTTTCCTGAGAGAGGTTGATATAGATTTTTCTGGTACAAAAAATCTTTAATCTGCATCTTCCAAAAGCCAAAGTCCGCACCATCGAACTTTTCAATTTTCACATTCACTTCGTCTGCAGCCATCGCTCCCACTCGAATCTGGCTTTTTCAGATTGTTTCTGACAATTTGTGCGAACCACCATGTATTATAACACCTCCATCGACAAACTCGTATCGCCGACAAAATTTGTACTATTCACGAAATTCACTATTCACGTGAATAATACTAAATAGTAACATCGCAAAAATTGAAAAAATTCACAACCAAAAGCTCTGATGCCAGTTGTTGGGAAATAAAACGAGTAACAAGTAATTTCCCTATAACCAGATTAGTGAGAATACGAAATAAAAACGGAAAAATAATACCCGAAATTGATAACGGAGTTCAATCAATTTGCTTACGTCTCCGGACTGCTGCAGATAATTTACTAAGAGAGAAAATTTACAGGTGTTTACAAAACACTCACTACTCACAAGAAAGCTCTCTAGTATTGGGAGAAAGAAATTATTTTTGGGATGATTTTAAAGCTAAATGAGCTAGGGTATTTATAGTTGAAGGTTAATGACCAATCTTATAAATACCCTAAAGTCCAATGACTAATAATAATTATCTCATTACAATTTTTCAACAAACATTTACCAAACTTTGAAAAACCATTTTTCAAAGAAACATTTATCAAACTTTGAAAACCATTTTCAAAGAAACATTTACCAAATTTTAAAAATCATTTTTTCAAAATTAATTGCCAAACTTTGAACTTTTAACAATTTCTTCATCAACTTGGTATAAATGCTGAAATTCAGAAGTGACCAACAGGCGCAAACCTGTCTGAACTTGGGAAGGTTTGATCCAAGGTTGGACTGGTTTTGAATAAGGATTTTCTAGTCTGAGTCACAATTTACAAAAGTATTTTTTTTGTTAACCAACTCAAGACTAGAAATTACTTATTTTAAACATATACGTAGTTTTCCTAATTAAATCAACTCGAAACAGAGCAGATTGCATATTGTATCATTGTTCTCAATTATCTGAAGCTAAATAATTTAAGTCTTCATTCAATGCCAGCAAATCAGAGTGGCGCAGCGGAAGCGTGGTTGGCCCATAACCCACAGGTCCCAGGATCGAAACCTGGCTCTGATAAATTCAATTGAATTTTTTGCATACCTGCTTCTTCACGATGTGGGCCATTCATAACTGTTTTGGGCTGATGACATTGCTATATATTTTAATGTCTATTTTAGGGCGATAAAAGTATAGACTCTCGCATTATATAAATAGGTTATCATTACTTTCATAATTGGCTTAGATTGTGATTTTTATAAATAAAAAAAAGATTCCTTAATAATCATTATTTTGAATCTATGCATTCCTAATTATGTAAACCTGTTAATTTACTATAATAGTTTGCTTTCAAATATCATTAAAAGTTACAAAATAATCATTTTACCACATAATGTTATTTTATTAAGTCTCTTAACTATTAAAAGTTATAAAATAGTCATATGATTATTCAATATGTTTCAAACTCGTCCCTTCCCGTTAAAAATTATAACTTTTTAAACTGAACGATAACATGATGAATGAGATATGATAGTCATTTGATATTTTGGGATAAGATTTTATCATATCACAATTAGCACGTTAACGTTCAACTCAGAATACCGTTAAATTTTTAACGGAAAAAGATGAGTTTTGAACTTAATAAATAGTTGAGTGATCATTCTGAAACTTTTAATAGTCGAGGGACTCGACAAAGCAACACTCTATAGTCAGAGGATCATTTTGTAACTTTTAATAGTCGAGGGACTTAAAAAAGTAGTACCCTGTAATCAGTGGACCATTTGTGTACTTTACCCTTAATATATTTTGGTACCGTCATATTAATAATTAAAATTTCATTACAATTGGTTTGCTTACCAATCTGAGCTTCAATTTACTTAGTTTACCTAACCGAAATCAAAAGAAGAAAAAGATAAATCTTAATTTGGGTACTCATCGTCGTGGAATATTTTGAACAAAATTATTAGTACATTCTTTTTTTAATCTCTTAAATATAAATATGGTCTTCGCTTCAACGTAAATCTATTTTCCGACAACCAAAATTGATGATAATAGATGTTGATAATGATGAACGATGGTCGATGGTAAGAGATTTTGGTTTAATTCATGACTCAAGTTGATATTTGAATTAAGGGTCACTTTTGTCTTTATAATAGACTTAATTTATTATTTTTGCATCAATTTAGCCTTCTAATTTTCCCAATTGCATCAATGTTTAAAATATTTACTATTGTTTAAGGTTTTAAGTTATAGTTTGAGATTTAGGATTTAGAGGTTTAAGTTAGGTGTAGGGTATAGATTAGGGATGGTATGGGTCGGGTTTTTGGTCTACTTGACCCGATCCGAGATCAAGGAATCCTCTACCCGAGACCCGATCAGACCAAAACAAGATTTCACTGACCCGAACTCGACCCCATATATAACTTAAAAGTCTGACCCGAAATAATAAAAAAAATATTATTTGTATTCAATAAAAATAATGACTTAATTGGAAAAAAATAATATATAGAGGGGTATTATTGTAATTATTCCTAAATATATACGGTAAAATTATAATTTTTTTAGGGTCGGGTCGAGTATTTTCCACCCTAAACCCGAAACCGACCCGACCTGATCAACATATTTAAAAAACCCGACCCGAACCCAGATTTTTTTAAAATAACCCGACCCGATCGAGTCGGATCGGATCCCATGCCCATCCCTAGTATAAATTGATACAATTAAACAACTTTGATGCTAAATTGATGTGAAAATACTAAAGGGATGAAAATGATAAATTAAGTATATTACATGGACAAAAGCGACTCTTAAGCTTTAATATTTTATCTAAAGTTTAGAAATCAAAATGATATTTTATAAAAAATTTAGGGATTTAATTAAAAATTATTCACTTTTATTAATGGTTCATATCATTTTACAGGAGTCAATAACTCAGTGATCAAAATATAAATATTGATAACGTAAGTAACGAAATGATAACGCAAGTCACTATCTCACCGATACATAGCTTTCTCAAAATTGGTGACCAAAATGAATAAATCCTAAATTATAGTTACCATTTCAAATTTTACCCAAAAATTAAAGAGGGAAATTTTGGAGTAACGTAAAGTGACATAAGCGAAAAACTGCTCGGGTAGGGGAGAGGAGGTGGACGAGTAGTGTTTCGCCAACTCTTCCGTACTCGCAGATATTTCCTTCACTCCCCCCTCTTCCTTCATCTCTCCCAATGCCGCCGTTTCTCTCTTCTTCTTCTTCTTCTTCTCAACACAACAACACTTCACCAAAATAGAACTCTCCAAAACGTATTTTCATGTTAACAACTGTGTACCAAAACCTCCCCAACTCGCTCGATTCTCGATCTCCGAACTCAAATATATATATTTACCAAACAGAACTTATCATCTAAGTCATAAATATTATTATTGTTAAAATTACGTTTCGTTCGTCTATAATTTATGCCAATGGCTTTCCAGAGTGCTGATCGATTTGCCTCTACTGGTACGTCGCCGTCGAAATCATTATCTCTATAAACGAAGAAAGAAAATTGAAAAAATAGAAAAGATTTACGCCTTCTGTTTTTTATCATTTAGATTTTCAATATTGCTTTTGCTCCTAGATTTAATTACGTTGTTTGATTTTAAGGAGTTATCGAATGAGAAGCGTGGAATCTAGATTTAGTTTATGTTTGGCAACGAATAGTATTGCCTAGCCTTGTTTGTTTGACAGTTTGATGATCTGTTGTTGTGTGTTTATGTTTCGATGTTTAGTGCACTTGTATGCTTACATGCTACATGTATTTGTTAGGTTAATCGAAAGATTTTGACTCTTTTTTTTTTTGGAATTCTAGAATCGGCCGAGGTGTTCAACGTTCTGATTCTGGATAGCAACAGCAACCATGCTAATCCGAATGCTTTGACTAATAAGGTGCATATTTGCTTGTATCGCTTCATTTTTATTGTTTTTATTGATTAGATTATCATTGACATTATTTTAATTTACTGTGAAGTGAACTGCTGATTTCTTTTAGTACCTTTATTCATTACTTAGGATGTGGTTATTTATTAATCTATGTACACAGGATTTGGGTACTGTTGGTTCCTTGAGGGATGGTTCACATCAGTCAGGATTCATGTCATCTGTGGTTGACTCTAAGACAACATATTTGTCCAATGTCTATTCTCCCGACGCACAGTTCTATCATGAAGGTTAGTTTTTTCATTGAAGAAAAAAACTTTATATTGTTTATGTAAACCTAGTTTTTGATTTTGTATTTGTTAAAAAATATGTATAAACCCGGGATTAGCGGTGTATCAAATGTAAGGTTCACATCTTGGATATTTCTTAGTGAAGTGATTTTCATTCTTGTGCTGATTGGAAGGGTAATTTGTTTCACGGTAAGCAATTCTTCTTATATATTGGATTTCTCCGTCAAGATTCAGTATTCTATATGATTTGGGGAACACGGTGGTGGTCTTTGAAGATGGAATCTACAATACCTAACGATAAAAGAAATTGTTTTTATTATTCCTTAGTAGTTTTGTTAGAGTTGTGTGAGTCTAATTTCATTTGATCCGGCCAGAAGAGTTCTTGATGCAACTCGTTTGGTGGATTTCTTTCTATGCAAGTTTACTTTGTATTTAACTACTTATTCCTATAAATAACCCTCAAATCACGCATAGCTGCAATCCTCTTGTAATCTCTTTCTTGACATAGTGAAATTTCTCCTCTTCTGCACTATTTCCGGTTAGGATTTTCCTCGTAAATGTTGGTGTCTTATTTTTTTTCTCTTTTTTACTTTGCGATCGCTTATATTCGCCATGTTGGTTTGTGATTGAGTAGAACTATCATCAAATTATCTCCAAGTCTGTAGTGGATTTGTATTGATATTCACATATGTGTTTGAGGTTGATGTTTTCTGTTAGTATTTAGAATGTCAATTGGCTTTGTTTTTAAGAAACAAGATTTTTTCTTTTTTCTTTCTTTTAGATTCCACTGAAGGTGATTCTTAATTGGATGTGAGGCGTGACATGCAATTTTATGGACTTTGGTAGATTAGGTAGCTAGTTAGCAAGGTTGTTGCTGGCAGAATAAATTTTGTATGGCTCATGATACTCTTTTCCTACTTTGCTTATTACTCATGGTGTTTTTTCCATGCTTGTGGAATGCAGCTCGCAAACAGGGTTCATTGCTTCCATATGTTAATGCTGAGGGTTTGGACAACGGTTTCCATGTTTGTAAACCTACTATCTTTTCTAATCATTTACTATTATTAGTACCATTCGTTGCATTCTTTCTTTCTATCAGTATGTCTTACAAAAGTGTTACTTTCTATTCACCTCACCCAGGACATCTATAATGAAACTGCATCTCTTGGAGTTCATGGTTTTGGGCATACCCCACAAATGCCACAAAGAGATTATACTCCGGTTTCATCTTATCTTTCTCGTGTTGGAGATCCTATCCTACTGTCCAATGCAAGGCATTTCGGTACCTTAGATTCATCTTATCACCAGCCATCAGTTCCCCAAAATATTCCACATGTTACTTCAAAGGCCCAAATTTCTCATTTAGAGTTTCCTGTAAATATTGAGCAACAACTGGTTGGAAAAAGATTTGGGCTGAGACCCAATTACCTTCCTCAATCAGGATCATTTGGTGGAGGAAGCAACTTCTTAGCAAGCTCGAGCAGTCTTTGCTCCTCATACCAAGCGTCTGAAGGGTTTGCAGTTGGTGGAATCTGCTCAGACTGGTCAAAGCCTTTTAATGGGAAGAGTTCTTTGTTTCATACATCATATCCATCAGCTTCTCCAAAACTAGTAGGTTCACTAGAGATTTCTTCAAATGACCTTGCAATGGTATGATTAATTCAACTATTAAGTTGGCCTCATTGGCACCTGCATATAGAAAGCGGTTCTAGTATTAATGACACAGTTGGCTGATGTAGCTACGAAGTTTTAAGGTGATTAAGGAAAGAACACAAGTCTAAGCTCAAATCCTAGAACTGTCCTGCAATTATAACTAATAAAATGCTAATATCAAAGTCAAATTTGAAGTCACAAGCACTCTACTCACTGAAACTAGTAGCAATCATCACCTTAAATTATATTCACTCTAGCCAACATTATCACTACCTTGTCTCCTCCCTTTCTCTCTTTCACCGTCTAGCATTACAACACAACTCTGTTTGATTTTGAATTTTCTTATACATTCTTGCAATAAGTTGTTTCATTTCACATTGTATGATCAAATAGACAGGAAGCTTTCCATTCTCCATTGAGTTCCCCCCCCTCAGTAAACTGCTGTCAATTTCATTGTTCTGCCACTTCATATATTTATCAGCATTTTCTAGCATGACACTTCTTTGACCTTTTGAGAAGATCATTGCTAGCATGCGTGGAGAGAGAGTGGAGAATAGCAGGGGGCATGTTGGTGGTATAGGAGAAAATGAGAGCTGTTTTGGTATTTAATTTCGTTAGTCCTAGTTTGTTTCTGCCACTCTTGGCATCTTTTTTCTCCTTTTACTTTGGCTAGTTAGTTGTTAAATGGTCATTTTAGGATCCATTTTTAGCCTTAAAATCTCAATTCAACTTTTTGTCATTTACTTTCTAGCAAAAGCAAATGAAAGAACTTATATTAAGTTGACAACATTAAGTTTAGAGTTCTGAGATAAATGTGTGTTTCAATGCCTTAATAATTCAAACTTGTCAGACACTTTTCTTGGAAAATTTTGTGAAGTTCATGGAGACCAATTCTTTGCACAAGTACTGAAGTACTTAAATGCTGCTCCCTGAACTAATCCTCATCAACTGTGAACAACCTTTTTTTTAACCAGGAACAAATTGAATTCGAATATTCTTCTTACCTTTGATGAAAATATTAGTGACTCTAGGAATTGTAGCTCAAATAGGTAGCTAATTTTGTAAGCCCTGTATGCCATTTTCTGATTGTGTTTTTGGTGCGACAATGTGACTTATGTTTTCATCATTAGATTCCAATCCTGAGATGTTTCTAGTTAGTTAACAATTTAAATGTATTTTTTCTGAGAAATACCTTAAAAAAAATGTCTGAAATAGATACTGCCAATTGATCAATTATAGTTTATTGCCTAACAGTCGAGTCATATGCAGGCGTCTTTTCAAAATGGACCATTTAATGGGTTTGGTTCTTGTTCTGGCTCCAACTCTAGAGGCTACATTGGTAGCCAAAGTGATTCAAGTGCTTGTCACGGAAGAGTCTCCTCTTCTAGTTTAGGAATAAGTGGTCATAACTGGCCTACCCTTGATGAAGCAAGGCAAGGAAGGAGCTGCAATGACTTCTCCTGCAGTTGTACTGTAACACTTGATACACTAAGTGAACGTAACAGGGGACCTAGGGCATTTAAGCCTAAAACTCAGATAACTACCAAGGGTTATATTGTTGGTATCAGCAAGAATGGAACAACTAATGACATTACCAATGGATCATACAATCAAAACAATTTTGCTACTGATTATGAAGATGCCAAGTTCTTTGTGATCAAGTCCTATAGTGAAGATAATGTTCATAAGAGCATAAAGTACGGTGTCTGGGCAAGCACTCCGATCGGCAGCAAAAAATTGGATACTGCTTATCACGAGGCAAAAGCTAAACAAGGAACATGTCCCATCTTTCTCTTATTTTCGGTAATCTATGCTACGTTGCATTGTAAGTGTTGGTAGGGTAAAAAGGAAAACAAAAAATGATGAAGCCATCTATTTTAACCTAAAATGGTTGGTGGATAGAATCAATTTGTGGTAATGCATTATTTATGATCAACTAGGATCAGTTGTCCTTAGTATGTAACCGTTGTGCTTTTTTTCTGTTTCATTTTAAATCCTTATATGTTATTACGCAGGTGAATGCAAGCGCTCAGTTTTGTGGAGTGGCCGAGATGGTAGGACCTGTTGACTTCGATAGAAGTGTGGATTACTGGCTTCAGAATAAGTGGTCTGGGCAATTCCCTGTAAAGTGGCACATTGTTAAAGATGTGCCCAATAGTCAGTTCCGCCACATTCTGCTCGAAAGTAATGGCAACAAGCCTGTTACTAACAGTAGAGATACTCAAGAGGTAAAGGATGCATTTGGGATTGTCACTTTATAGCGTGCTGATCTGATTCTTGGTGTTTCTGGTTACATTCAAATTAGTCTCATTATTGTCTCATTCATGGCTATTCTTACTAGTGTTTCTGTGGTGATTATGTCGGTCTAGAATCAAATTTGATTCGACCAAGCCAGCATGAAACTTGTCCACAATTCCGCTCTCTATCTTCTTGGTAATTCTCAAGCATATAGAGTACTTATGATTTTTGTTGAAATGCATGATGTATATAACTGGAGTAAACTCAACGGAACACTGTACATCCCAGAGCTAGAAGATAGCTACCCTTGTTTCCATTTAATCAATAGGCATGTATTGCATGCCCACCACTTGTGATGTCACGAGCCATGAGCCATGAGGTATTGAGCATGCATGCCCATTATACTTATTTTGTACATCTAGTAAGGTTCATATAATCTTTCTTTCATTGCAACAACGTAATCGAATGGTGTCTGACACTGCTGCATCAAATGATATTGCAGGTTGAATTCGAACAGGGTATCGAGATGATAAACATTTTCAAAAACTATGTAGGTTGTTCTTCCATCCTAGACGACTTCTATTTCTACGAAGAGCGGCAGAAAGCAATGCAGGAAAGGAAGGCCAGGCGGCTAACGACCCTAGTGGCTTCCGACGACTTTGTTCACGAAGGACCGAACCTTGCTGCACTCCCCAATGATCTCTTAAAGAAAATGTCCAAGAGCTTCGCCGAAGTTCTTTAGTTGAATGAGAATGAGAAAGCAGGCGGAGCAACTAAAGAGGTGCTCTCTGCTGCCTGTGGAGGCCATGGTAGATAGCTGCAACCACAAATTCGGCCAGCAATGAAACGAATATTGTCGGTAGGGAATTACTACGGTTTATATGCATTAAATCGTGTTCTTTACTATTTCCCTCCCCCACGAGTTTTAAGGCACTTAGTTTGGGCTATAACTCGGTTCATGGATTTTATTTGTTTAGATTAGACAGGTATATTGTGCAGTTGTCCATAAGATAAGACTTGGTTCATAACTTAATATCGTATGTATACAGTCTATACACAATATATATATACCGCTACTGATATTACAGATATTCTAAATTCTTTCCAAAAAGCCTCCCTAAGATGGAAAGATGGTGGTTTCGTTTTAAAAACAAGGGTAAATTACGTGTTTAGTATCTAAATTATCAGTTTTGATATGTTTTAGTACTTAAACTTTCAATTTTTTAAAATCATACCTAAAATTTAGTCTTTGTTTCATTTTAGCATCCGTAGTTGAAAACTTTAGTCTTTATTTCATTTTAGTACCCGTTTAAAATTTAACTTCAAGTTTTGAAAAAATTAAAAGTTTAGGTAGTGAAACAGATCAAAATTGATAGTATATGTATTAAATGTGTAAATTTTTAATGATCGGGTACTAAAATAAAATGAAAAATATACATTATTTATTATCTTTTTATAAAAATTAAAAGTTTAGGTACTAAAACAGATTAAAATTAATAGTTTAAGTATTGAATATGTAATTTATCCTAAAAATGGTTTCTTCAAATGATATTTTTTTTCATTAACAAAAATCAAATCCAAGATCTTTAATATGGAAATGTATCATAGTCATTCGAAATAGAGCTCGGTCATATCAATTTTAACCGCAGGGGAGAGTCATTAATTTTATATGTCCTAATTCATTTCAACTGACATTCGAAATACATATCCTCTTTATTAATAAACTCAATAATTTACGTAAGAAACTTAATTTATTTTGATTAGTGTGTCCTTCATTTTTTTTATTGATCGACGGTGACATTAATTTTAATATTAATTGTCGATCGTCAGTATATTTTATTAATTTTTTCTTTTATACATCTTATCTTTATTTTCTTTTATTTTTTTTTCAATAAGTATGTTTGTGTTGTACATTTTTATCTGTCTTTATGACACAATTTCTTATGTTTTTTTTTTGCATTTTTTGGGTTATTTTGTCATTTTTTTCATTTATCTTGTTTCTAAAGGTTGATTTGATATTGTCACAACTGATCAAGGTGATTATATGATATCTTGTTAATCTTTTCTGCTTTGGACCCTTAGATTGGATTTAGATACCCGGTTTGTTTCGTGGATAGTTTTTCATGTCTCTCGAGTCTGATTTGCGGTTTGTCGGTGGTCTTTTAATATATGATTTCCTTTTGTGGATCATTTGCCGATGCGATCAGATCTGTTTTAATCTATATTTCTTCGAATTTCTTGGTTAAATTTAATCTTTCCTTGTATGTTCCTTATGTGATATTAAGTTACAAGTTTTGTTTCAATAATTATAGGAAATTTTCCTAATTATGTGTTTAATATACGATTATAATTATAAATCTTTATTATAATTTGAAATATTTTCTATTTTAAAAAAAAATTAATTACTTCTACTAATATATATATATATATATATATATATATATATATATATACTCGCGCATTAATTTCGAAACTCCAATTTGAATGAACAAAAACGGACAGAAATGCCTTTAAAATTCGACATTTCTCCATTAAAATAGAAGATACGTGAATGAAATCTCTCGGCCACAAGTCCGTACCTCCATTAAAATTATGTATGGTTGTAACTCATTAATTCACCCCCTTTTGGTTTTTATGTAAGAAACAACAGCAATGGCGAAACCAAGTTGCATCAGCCAGGGAGTAGCGAAAAGGAAAAGAAAAGAAATCAAAGCCTTTTGTGTTCACTCCTATGGTCTGATCCCCCGCCACCCCATGCACCGCCTAAAGCGGTTGAGCGATTCCCTCCGGGAGCGCATGGAAAAACACAGCCGAAGCAACCAGCGGCACGGAACCAACGAAGCCACCAGTTTGAACCTTCGCCCCGCCGGACTTATCATCACCATTCTGCGAATCAGACGACGACGACGCCCGCTGCGTCGTCGTCTCGTAAATATGGCGGCGTCCGGCGAGTTCGGGGCTAATCCAAGAAGCTCTATTCGTTCAGAAAAAAACACCATACCATGCAACACAATCAATTCATTCATTCAATACATATTTGATAAAAAAAAAAGGAAGGAGATTTAAAAGCTTACTCGGGCAATCGCTGACGCTAGCGTTCTTCAACTGGCAAACCGAGGGGAGCTGGAAGAGCTTATCTTGTTGGACTCCCAAGCCCTTGAGACTTTGAGAACCGGATGCCTGATTTGCTGAAGAATATAACACAAACACTTCGGTTCGTTTTCTTTTATGCTCGAAACCGAGCTGCAACACTCCTTCGACGAAGTCCCCGCCTTGCCCTGAGCAAAGTTGAGGCAACTCATCACGCTATGGAAATCTTTGGTGCACTGGTTCGCTAACCCACTCTCGTCGGCTGCACCGACGACTCACCAAGAAAGTGATCGCCGTCGCGGCTGAAACTGTCGAGCCCTTTAATCCCCGTTGCTCTTTGTCCATTTCTTCTCTGCTTCTTTTCACTTGAGTTTTTGGAATCCCACTTGAAAAATATCTTTTAAGCTCTTGGAGATTGGAAGAACATAAATATGGAAGAATGAGTATCGAGTAGTAACATTTGGTCAAATTATGAATACGGTCCCTATACTATACTTTTTTTTACATATCTAGTCTTTCCACTCTAGTTTCATCATTTTTAGCCTTCTATTATTGAAAGTAGGGGTGTAAACGAGCAGAGTCGAGCTCGAGTATTGCTGAGCTCGACTCGACTCAAAAACTCACGAGTTTAAAATTTTCAAGTTCGACTTGAACTCGAAATCCTGAACTGAAGCTCGTGAGTAGCTCGAAAATACTCGAAATAAAAAAAATCTTAAACTTAACTCGATTGAAGCCTCAAACTCGAACATAAACCTTAAATACATGAAAATCTTATTATATTTTTTTAAAAAATCAATACATAAATCTTAATATATTATATTTTCGAGTTGTTCACGAGATTTTCGAGTCAAATATCGAGTAGTTCGTTTCGGCTCGTTAAGAACTCGAGTCGAGTCCATTCGATCCGAGTATTTATCGAGTCTTGATCGAGTCAATCTCGAATAACCCGCGATCTGTCTCGTCTCATTTACTGCCCTAATCGAAAGTATATGGTGGCACAATAGAATATCATGGCATTTTCATAATTGAATATAGATTTTTTTTCATGTTTAAAAACCCAAAAAAATATCGCAAGGTTTATCCAAATATGGTGTAAAAAGGCCTTTAAGGATGCTTAATATCTCTATATTATTTTAAATTTTAAAATCTATTTCACAACTTTAATATTCTATTAAAATTAAAAATATAAATAAATAAATTATATTACTCAATTAATGATATTTTAAAAAATCAATCAAAATAAATATACTAATCCTTATTCCACAAAAAGAAACAAACAAGTTCACCAAATATTTTTAAAAAACCAATCAAAATAAAGTTCAATTCAAAAGATAAAGGGAACCTGAAATTGCTTTGAGAACTGCTTCCTGAGGCGGGCCTTGCTCGAGGTCATCCTCCTCGGACGAAGAAGATGACGACGTTTCGTTGTTAGATGAATTCAGCTTCCGAGTCCAGAAGTGAACGTCTCGAGCCATAACTACACAGCTCCGTTTCTTCGCCGGCGAAACTCCGAAGCACCTCAACGATTTGACGGAACGGAAATTCCCGTTTCTTTGCGGTGGTCTCCACGGATCCGTTACAGAAACGGAATGCAATCCCGTCATGCACGCCATCTCTGATATTTCTTTTCTGCTTTCCGGATTAATTCCTATTTTCATGAATTATATATTTTTTGTCATGATTTTGCTACGGGCGCTCCAGTTGAAATTATTTAACTACCCTCCTTTGATATTTTCTCGATTAATTCCTATGAGGGCTAATTGTCATTTCATGTCGTGAAATTAACGAAACTAGAATGCTCAAACCAGAAATAACCATCCAGCTCAGTTGGTAGAGCACAAGAATTTTAATCTTGAGGTCGTGGGATCGAGTCCCACGGAAGGCATTTCATAATTCGAAGGTCTCTTACGAAAGCTGTTTTCAACCTTGTGTTGAGGTAATCTATTATCTTACCTCCCCTTATCCAGGAAAAAAGGGACTGGCCATTTTAGAATGCCCAAACCACAAACTTAAGCAACCTCCAGTGGTACCGAGAGCACCTGATCTTGAAAATTTTCGGCTTAATTCTGATCCAGTCCCTGTATTCTTCGAGTTTTGAATATTTAGTCCATCTGCTTGTATATTCAGGAATTCGAACTGTCTGGTTTAAATACTTTCTAGCCGTGAATTTGACAAAATCATCTCTCTATCAAAGAGCGATTCGAATGCTGCAATTTATGTATGACCTTATTCATTTACGTGATCGATTGCTCTTAAGCATCTTATCAAACCGACTAATCATCCCGCCCCGAAACTCGATTCTTGCAGGTGCACCATGGATGAAGTAAATGCTGAAATCATTCCTATTGACTTACTGCTATTGAATGTGGATGGTCATTGTTTCTTACACCATATAAGAACTTCAAGGATCAACATCAATACCAGAGAAGTCTCTTAGTTTTAGTTTGAGCCTAGAACGCCATTTGGTTGTACAACTGTTTCTTCATCGGTCCAGGTCAGCGGTTCGACTTACGGGTCGTGTTACGGGCATTACCGGTGCACAATCTTGCCATGTTAGGTTGTGTTCTGGGAACTACTTTTGTAAAATCTGTGGTTTAACTTATATGTTAAATACTAATCTGTTACCAGAATCAGGTAGTCCTTACAAAGCATTGTAAGGACTGAATAAAAAATTATGGAAATAAAAAGGGTTAAAAGATCGATTCTTTAATAAAATGAAAGAAAAAGAAAAAGTTTTGTTGAGAGTGGGATTTGAACCCACCCATTCGGACCAGAACCTTAATCAGGTAGTCCTTACAAAGCTAGAAAAAGGTGTACGACCATCCAGCATTTTAATGGCTGTTAGGGTTCTTCCTCGTGGCGTCTCACTTGGGGGTGAAAGCCTGCAACGAAGAACAACAACACTTAATCTAGATTCCCACAAAACAAGCAAATGACACATCACCATGGCCTGGAGTGCTCACAGCAAAAATGGTGGCGTGACCGGGATCGGCAAGGTGAGCGAATAAGTTGTCGATGGGACCGG